CACCAGGACCCCCACTGGAAACCAGGCAGGGCAGACAGGGCAGAGGTGGCCTCATGGTCCCCAGGAGGGGCTCAGCATCCAGCTGCTAGGCAGCAGAGCAGTGGTCCTCGGTACACAGATGCCAAAGCCAGCCGGGGCCTGTGGGCACTAGGGCCTGGGCTTCAGGGATGGCAGAGTGCAGGTCACTGGGCTGAGCTCCCAGCCTCAAGCCTTACCACTGTCCTCCGTAGCACAGCACCAGTGGAGCCCAAGTGTCCTGAGCTGTTCCTGAGGTTCCTGCAGCGTGGTGGGGGACATGCAGCACGACCGAGGCTGAGCCCATGGGCAGGGCCAAAGGCCCCCATCCAGGGCCAACCAGGCACCTGTGCCCCGGGACCTCAGCGCAGTCCTCAGGCTTGGCTCAGGTCCAGAGACCTGGACACCATGTGTCCCACCACCCCTCCCTAGGTGGGGAGACAACCTGAAGGCTGAGAGTGGCCAGACTCAATCAGGCGCCATTGCAGGGAGCTCGGAGGTGAGGACTGGCCCAGGGTCCTTCCCCAGCCTCAGTCCTGTGAGGTCCGAATGCCGCCATTAGCACACGGTCCAGCCAGACTCTGGCCTCAGTGTGCTTCGGATGAGTCTCTGTCTATTTCTATCTGTTGCTGTCTCTCTCTGTCTCCCTCCCTCGCTCAGAGCCTGCTCTGTCTCCCTCTAACCCGTGTGTGTCCGGACTCCATTTCCTTTCTTCCTCAGTCTGTTTCTAGCCGTCCTTTCCCTTCTGTCTCAGTCTCTCTGGGGCCTCCTCTGGCTGCCCAGTGTCAGGCATGGTCCGTCCCTGGCCTCTGTCCACTTGTGGCCTCAGTCTGGGTTCTGCACCTTGACCCCTCTGGCACATGCACACCGGAGACCCTGAAAGCAATGCTCATAGATGGGAGGAGCCTGGAGCCTGGTGGCCAGGTGGCTGCACCCAATTGGAGCAGCACCCACATCTCCGTCACAGCACACACCCAGGGCAAATGTGTCTCCCACCCTGTGTGCCACCCTCCTGAGGCTCCCGGGGAGTCAGCAAAGCCCTCCCTGTCGCCGCTGCAGGAGAAACTTTGGGCTGAAGTGGAACAAAGAGGGAACCCAGGCTGGCAATTACCCAGCTAATTTCAGCTGTGTAGACAGGCAAATCAGATATTCTGGTTTCCTCAAAGCCCACTTCAGGACCTGATTTAGCTGCCTAATTAATTATCTGGAAGCAGCCTGAGACTGGCAGGGTGGAACAGGGTCCCATCCAGCTCAGGCTGCTGGCCCTTCACATCGCGGTGACATCACCAGCCTCCTTGGAGCCAGCAGCCTCCTCTTGGCCTCAGCAGGGCGGGCAGCAGCCAGCATTCCTCTGGACTGAGGGAGGTGCAGGGGTCTCCTCAGTGCCCACATGGCCCCCATCCCTCCCTCTGGGACCCTTGCTAGCTGGGGATCATTGGGGCAGGCATCTCCCACAGGAGCTCTGGGTGCCCCAGGCGGCAGCTCTGAGGTCCGAGACCCACCCAGAACAGTGCCAAGGCCCCGAGACCCACCCGGGACAGTACCCAAGGCCCCGAGACCCACCCGGGACAGTACCAAGGTCCCATGTTGAGCTGACAACCTGGCCTGACATGCCTGTGCCACCAAGTGCCAGCCTCTCTGCCACGACCCCTGATCCTCCCCAGACCCTGAGGCCACTGTCCTCTGTCAGCTCCAATCCTAGGCCTGGCCTCTGGCCATGAGGATGGCCCAGGTGGAGACAGGGCCCCAAGTTCAGTGGCAGTCTCAGGCTGCACAGGCCAACACACACAGAACAGGCTGCCTAGATCCTGCAAAGCTCAGAGTCACATAGCACCTTCTCCTGTCCTGTGTCCAGCCAACCCTGGCTCCCTGGGCATTGTGCTATCTCCACCCAGCTGAGTCCTGGCCAAAGGGCATGGTTGGCTTTAGGCCACCCTGAGCCACCCTGCTGCTGCCGTGGCTTCCCAACATCCCCAACCTGGTGTGGTCCAGCCTGAACATGGGTGCAGGGAGTTGAGGGCACCTTCCCCTCTGTCCCCTGGTCCCTCGCCCCGGGCATTGCCAGGTGGGCTGGGAGGCATCTGCTTGTCCCTGCCCAGCCCTCCTACCTCCCAGAGCCTGTTTCATCACAAACTCCATGATGATGGCTTGGTTCCTCGGTGACCACTGTGTCAGACCTCACATGCGCGGAGATGGAGTCCCTGCTGGGGAGAGCACAGGGTCAGGACCTCCCCAGACCCTCGCTGTCCCCTGGTCCTGTGTGGACCCCACTGCTGGGCTGTGGTCCTCACACCTAGCCCAGGATAGGCAGCCCAGCCCCCAGATGGCCCGAGAGTTTTCCACCTGGGCCTAGGTTTCTTCAGGAGCTTTTAGCTGCTGATGGGGTCTCACGACTGGGGCTCTCCAGAGGAGCCTGGCATCAGCCTCCACGAGGCAGAGATAGGGCCCAGGGCGTTTGAAGGTCGCTGAATGCTCAAAGTGGGCTCTGGACACTGGCCCTCTGGTCCTGGCCATGTGTGGGCCAAGGGTCTGTCTACAGGACAGGGGAAGGGTCAGGCCCTTTGCCCTTTCTGCGGCAGATGACTGCCTCTGGAGGCTGGGCTGTGTCCCTGGGTGACTCCAGTGACCCCTACGACACTCAGCACAGGGCTGGGACGGAGGAGGATGGAGGGGAACAGAGGGGAATGGAGGAGTCCAGACCCCAGGGTGGTGGGGGCAGATGGCATGGGGTGGGGTGCCAAGAATTGGTGCCTGGAGGGTGATTCTGTGGGGGCCTTCCTGAAAGGCCACAGCTCTGCGGCACCCTGCCCTGAAGGCTGTCACCTGGCAGGGAAGCCCTGGTCTCGGGGGACCCACTGTTTCATGGCTGTCCCTGGGCAGCTGAGGAGACCCTCGTGGGAACTTGGTGGATGGGAGGTACCCCAGATGTTGGTGCTTTTGCCCCAAAGCTTTTCTCTTCCAAACTTTGCCCTGCTTGGGGGAGGGGACCTGAGAGGCTCTGGCCAGGACCTGGGCTCTGCAGGCAGGCAGGGTGCCGGGCTAGTGGCCTCAGGGTGCCCTGACAAGGGGAGAGAGATGGAGAACCGGGGCGAGGAGGCGCCGGGGCTCAGAAGCAGCGAGGGACCGCGGGGCTGCTTCAGCACCGAGCGGCGGACAGCGCCCGCCCAGTGGGGCTTGGGGGAGGGGACCTGAGAGGCTCTGGCCAGGACCTGGGCTCTGCAGGCAGGCAGGGTGCCGGGCTAGTGGCCTCAGGGTGCCCTGACAAGGGGAGAGAGATGGAGAACCGGGGCGAGGAGGCGCCGGGGCTCAGAAGCAGCGAGGGACCGCGGGGCTGCTTCAGCACCGAGCGGCGGACAGCGCCCGCCCAGTGGGGGGCAGGGGCGTGGGGGGTATTAAGGGGAGCTGGGTGGGGAGCGGGGTTCGGGGGAGACCAGGGAAGCAGGGGCACCGGGGGCGCCGGGTGTCAGGCGGGATCTGGGGAGAC